GGATAAGAGGTTCCTGACGTAGCTCTTTATTTTATGTCATATAGCTTAAGGTGCCCATACACCTGCCGATTATCGTACGATAATCGCGGGTGATCCCACGATCATCGGGAGGTGCATGGAAGGCGTGCGACCGTTTCTACTGTAAGGTTTCTACTCCCGAGATGGCTTGAAAACCCACCAAGAATCGTACAATTTTCGGCAGGTGAGTGGCGTTCTCAGGCAACAAATGCCGCAAACGCACACTGCCCGCTCAGCATTGGAATCATCGGAAGCCCTCCCCTCAGCGGGGAGGGTTTGCGATGATCACAAGTACGATCTGCCTGTCCAAGATGGGCAGATCGTACGAGCTTTTAATTCAGGGGTAGAAAATCTCCGGCCCTCCAGCAGTGGTGGAACAACAAGTGGAGGGCCGGAGGTTTGCTACCCCTGTTTTAATTACCTTACAACCACCGCAGGATGAAAGTCATGCAATGGTTGTAAGGTGTATGGGCACCTTAAGAGTGCAATGCATCCTGCTTTTCACCCCTTGTACCCCACAACTGCACTCTATTGTGTTGTGGACTGGCAAATTTCTACCAGGCCCCTGACATCTCTGGGTCTCAAAAGTAGTGGACATTCGGATGACATCTTGTGCTTTAACCCAATCCTTGTATAACTTCAAGATCACTTGCATTGAAACGAGCAAACAATTCTGTAGTTGGACACAATAACTGGACTTAATTAGTTCCACCTCTGGGACAAGTGACTTCTTCATTTCAGCTTGTCAGAAACATATTAGAACAATTTTACCCACACGTGGCAACCCTTAATTATTGAAAGACCCTTCCATGAGTGGGGAAACCTCCTGAATGTTCCTAAACAAGTTGGATGACCAGTGAAGCGTCTTCAAGAAAAATAAAGCAAGTCAAGTTGCCCTGACTTATTCTTTACAGATATAAGAGGTTAGGGACCTTAAATTAAAAGTTCCTTGAGGGCGGGGACTGATGTGAATGTACAGCAGGTAGAGCGTTGCATAAATATATAAAAGCCTGTAGTGATACACTGGGACACACAGGTCTGAGGAATAGTTTGTGTAGCCCATAGACATAAATAAGCAGCTCACTTTAATGTTCTTATCGCAGTGCTAGAATGAAGGGTGGTTAAGTGTACTTTCACCTTACACATGCAGGGCAAAGTGACAATGTCTCTACAAAGAGACCCCTGACCACTATATATTCTCCTTCCCTGTACACTCCCACATCACCTTAGCTGATATTTAAATCGCCTGTGATGGGATGGATCCAAGGCACAGCAACCAATCTCAAAGACTGAGCATGACCGAGGGAGAGACGTCATCGCTCTCCCAGTGACAGCGCTCAGATGTTGCAATTGACTTCTAGGCCCAAGTGCCATCACAGGGGAACAGGTCACATGCTCCTCCAAACACAGAAGTGCCAGGTATTCTCACCGGCTGCAGATAAGCAAGGAGCTGTGAGGGAGTGCAGGAGAGTATAAACAGCACGGGGATGCCCTTTACACAGGCACTGTCACTTTGCCCTGAATGTGCAAGCTGACAGTGTTTACTTCACACAGAACACTTTTTTTTTATAAGGCAAAATAAATGTTTACATAAATGATGCACTTATGTAAATTGTTAGTCACACTTACAGGGAAATTTATTTTTTTTGGAGCACGAAGAATTAGAATATTAAACCCATATAAATTACTTTTCTTTTAGAAATACACATAAAAATTATTTTAAAATAAACTTGGTCCTATCAAAAATTCACAACACTTTAGAAAATATAGGAACAGCAAGTGCAAAGATCTTTAAAAGGAGAACTATGAGGCGAGTGCTTTTCACTCACCTCATAGTTCTAGACGACCTGTGACAATGAGACTGTCACAGGTCGGCTCAGTAGATCGGGAGGTGAGCGAACAGATACCGGCGTTCGCTCACCGCTCGATCCTGTCACTGCACAGAGCCGTGACAGGGGAGGGACTGGATTCCCCCTCCCCTGTCCAATCCTCCAGCACTGACTGGCGGAACGGACGGGGGAGGGTACAGCTGGATCCGCCCCTAGATAGGCAGAGCCAGCTGTCACTCACGCAGCTGGGCGGATCCAGACATAATTGTCGGGATCTGCTGCTGCGTCTCAGTATACCGCGAGCTGTAGCTCGCGGTATACTGAGCCTAGGGTGACGGAAGGACGCTAGTTTGTGTCCTCCCGTTACCCTAAGGAGAACTAGTTCTCCTTTAAAGCTCCTGCCACACAGGGTTCAGCTTGCTGAAAGCTTTTAGAAGTGCTTTCTGTCTAAAGCTACATCCAGCACTGAGTATGACTAGTGTTGATCTGAAGGATGCTCCATCGGATTTAGGAATCCTGCTCAAAGCCAAGTTCTTAAGTGCTTGCTTTACATGATGTCCTTAAAACTGATATTGACATGTTAAAACCAGTCTGACCTGGGACTAAGGGTTTGTTTTGAATGGCCGTGTCTCCTTGCCATGTGGGTAAGAGAAGACAGATCTGAAATAAAAATAGGATTTTGGTACTCCCCGTAAAATCCTTTTCTCTCCGTTCATTGAAGGACACAGGGAACAGATCGGAAGCGAAGAAGACGCGGCAACAGATACAGCTGAGGGAACTCGTAAATCAGACCGTAGCAATCCCACGGCGCCACCAGGGCGTCCACCGCATCCGCCCAAGGATCCTGGGTCCGGGCCACGAACCGCTCGACCCGCCGATTGAGGCGAGACGCCAGGAGATCCACGTCCGGGAACCCCCAGCGAAGACAGAGCTGGTGAAACACCTCCGGATGTAGCATCCATTCCCCCGGGTCCACCGACTGGCGACTGAGATAGTCGGCCTGCCAATTGTCCACGCCCGGAATGTACACGGCGGAGAGAGCCGGAACATGCACCTCCGCCCAAGATAGAATTCCTTCCACTTCCCGAGCCGCGGCCACACTTCTTGTGCCGCCCTGATGGTTGACGTACGCCACGGTCGTGGCGTTGTCCGACTGAACCCGGACCGGCCGTCCCTGAAGACGGTCCGTCCAATGAAAAAGGGAGAGACGGATCGCCCGAAGTTCCAGTACGTTGATCGAAAGCCGAGACTCCTCCGACGACCAACGGCCCTGAGCCGTCCAAACGTCCAGGGCTCCCCCCCTGCCCAACAGGCTGGCATCCGTGGTGACCACCATCCAGTGAATGGGAAGGAAGGACTTTCCCAACACCAGGGACGAAGACCGAAGCCACCAGACCAGGGAGGTCCTTGCCTCCCGAGGCAACCGAACAGCCCGGTCCAGCGACAATATGTTCCTCTGCAGAACCCGCGTGTGATGCTGAGCCAGAGGGAAGTGCTGTGACTGGGCGGCCGAGACACCCAGTCATATGCACACCCCTGGGACAAACCCACAGGCCACCCCGCCGGAGCGGGGCCGTCGTAGCCGACCCACCGCAGCGGGCCTGCATACGCTCGCTGGTCATCCAGGGGAGACTCCAAGGATCCTAGACATCCAGCCTGTCGCCCGGACAACACTTGCTAGAAGATTCCTCTGAAAAAATCAGGAAGAAGCAGGTAAGAATACCGAGAAAAAATTCTTAGCTCCTTACTCCTGATGCTAGGCAAAAAACTGGAGACTTGTCAGCAGGTGGGGGGTTTGGCCACCGGCAGGGGCCGCCCCTAGGCTGTAATTGGGCTTTAGTTTTTTTGTGCCTAGCGTCCTTCTCCTGCAGGTGGCGATATTACCCTACAGTACATGATCTCCGATCTGTTCCCTGTGTCCTTCAATGAACGGGAGAGAAATAGGACTGTATAAATAGGACTGCACAGAGAGCTTTCTGGTGAACCCGGAGATTATTAGAAATGGACGGAAGATATAGATTGGTGGAACTAGGAGTGCTTACTGTGAGATCAAACCACCCTGCAAAGTCAAACCAGCCAGTGGGTGAATCAGTCTACCACATCCACAATAAAACTTTATTTTCATAGCTCTGCTCCTTTAACTTTTGCCCCTAGTCAGCCCGTTCTTATTTTATACTGCTAGATTACACAAATATAATTTTTTCTGAACTTAAGGAATCTCACCATGAATATATTTTTCTAAATCAGCTTCTGTAATTGTTGTTCATCCCACTTAAGTCCCACCAGTAGGTGGCCATTATAATGCAGCAGGGTGCTCAATGCCTTTCCAGGCTTCTAGGCATGCGTAAACCCAAACCAATACATACAGAAATGAATTATGCTGAATGACAAAGCAGAATGCCGGAGACAGGTCATATTACATCACGATGTACCTGTAATAATGTAGTGATATACATACTGGACATCAGACAAAATGTCTGAGAAAAGAACAGTTCCAGGCTGTGTGGCCGGGAACAATCCATTAAACATTCTTTCAAAGCAACAGAAAGAAATGGGCCATATGGCCACTTTAAGAGGTAGTTCTTCCCATGGATACTCTGAAGTCCAATGATTTATTGTTTTCCTAAAGTAGTAGTCCAACCCTTCCTCGCTTTATCCAAAACTGCGGGGAAAAAAAGCTTTGAATAGAGTTTAACTTGAACATGAAATATACAAAACACGTGCCCAGCCTTGCTAGTACACAGTTCTTCACTGATATAAGAAAGAAATGAAATGACACAAAACCATTAAGCTTAAAACTGTAGTGGCGTTATTATCATTGTGCACACAACGGCCTCAGAAATGTTGTGGTTCCGGTAATCTTAAGGCTTGAAATACTTAAAATGTATCAGAATAACTTCACAAATCACCACAGAAGGCTGCATAAAGGCCTACTGAGAAATACTGGAGGAAGGAAGCAAACCAGTCTTGCCCATAGCATCCAATCAGGTATGAGCCTTCATGTTCTCCATTGGCCCTTGATCCAGTTGCTATAGATCAAACCCAATTGTATGCGGTGGTGAAAGTCAGAACCATCCTATGATATCCCTGACAAGCCTGTGTACACAGGAAACTCAGTGCAATTGTAATTCACAATCTGTGATCAGAACAAAGTTACTTCTCGGGGCGACTCTTTGTGGGCTTCTCAGACGGGGAGCTGGGAGAAGGCTCGTTTTCCTTGCTCACTCTCTTCACTTTTCCCTTGCCTTTGGAATTAAATGTCAGTGTGGCCTTGTTGAATTCCAGAGAGAAAACCCCCACGTCCCCATCAAAACGGTTTTTAGCCAATTGCAGATTTCTCTTGCCTGGACCGCTTGCCAGCTTCTTGTCCTGGAGGATAAGAATATTATCGGCCTCCTGACTGGCCTGGAGCCCAGAAGAGAAAGGGAAAAAAAAAAAAACATTTTAAAAAGTGTCATCTCATTTGCACATCTGAAGACGCATAAAAACAGTGGAGGGGAATTTATCAAAACTGGAGAAGACAAAATCTGGAGCAGCTGTGCTTGGCAACCAATCAGCTTCTCTGCTTCATTTTCAAATCTTCACTGAACAAACTGAAGAGAGAAGCTGATTGGTTGTCATGCACAGCTGCTCCGGGTTTTATTTAAAAACACAGTTATTTTCAGGTTAAAAGAAAATAGATTTAAAAATTATATATTTTTTTGCGTTACATGGCTAAAAAAATAATAATGTGTCGAATGTCTAAAAATAGAGATCCTATTCTGACAAGCTTTGTGAATTGAGCCCAATGTTTGTAAACATTCGGCCTCTTACAGAGCCCTTACCTGCCATCTTCTGGGTATATACACAGACACACTGGGGGGAATTTATCAAAACTGGAGCAGAAAAAAACTCGAGCAGCTGAGCATGGCAACCAATCAGCTTCTCTCTTCAGTTTGTTCCGTTTGGGTTTGAAAATGAAAGAGAGAAGCTGATTGGTTGTCATGCTCAGCTGCTCGAGTTTTGGTAAATTGCCTTCACTGTATATAATAAAGCAAGTGAACCAGAGCATACCTTACCATGTTTGAATTTGCAACTCTGCTACGTCTAACTATAGGCAACAAGTCATTTCACTGCCTAAGCAGATAAAGTATATTTAAAACACAAGAACAAAAGTGTAATATATTACAGCTTCCCAGTCCTAAGATGGTATGGTTGCATTTGTTTCATTCGTTTTTCTCTCTTTATTTTCATCTGGTAATCCTGCCATTAACACATCTTGACCTACAGTGACAACGCTCACTCACTGTACTGTAGATCTATGGAGTAGTGTCACCCTAGGACAAGAAGTATGCTAGGACTACAGAACATCTCATCTCCACAACATTGGGGGAGGGGTTCTGTAGTCTAGAAAGAATGGATAATGCCTGAGAATTTAGTGTATAAATGGTCAGTTTACTAGATTTCTGGCAGCATTAACAGGTCATTTTTGCCCATTTGGAACGGATATAACAAAATGCCTACAATGGTATCGTTAACAGAACCCAAGGTGGTGAATAAGAGAAGGTCATTGTTAGGGTTTACATACACTGCCTACAGTACAGCAGCTACTTTGCATACAGCAAATAGAATTTATGGGACTTCTCAAAGGCAAGTGCAACCTGCAGGAAATAAAAGGGAAACTTGAGGCATAAATGAATTTCAGTTTTGTATGGTGGCCCGCAAGGTGAATTGAATAACCTCCCAATGGTCATACCATGTAATACACACAGCATTAGGCCACATCCCCCAGCCACGATCACATTTCCAGGCTTCTCCAGACCTGTCCACCATATGCTCTTTACCTCTCCCACATTTCACACCCCCAAAACGTACATACGTGTGCCTCTTGGCAGCGCCTTCTGTACTTTTAAAAGTCCTGTTCTAGTCAAATTTGGGTGCTGCCGAGCTCTCCATGGAATAGGCATTCCATAAGCATTACAATCAGTAAGAAAATCTTCTCTACACATAGCTGACTTCATAACACATTCACACACAGAGTCACGCTTAGACACACATTTCACCACACTTCAATTGAATTCTCCACACACAGATTATCTTCTCCAATTCACTGTCCTCACAGAACCTTCCTTCCACAACTTACCACCGTCTTCACTAAACCGTCTCTGCCCAATGCACTGCAATGTTTCCACAGATAACCATCAGGTACAATTCATTCTAGATCATTTGTGGCTCATGCAGACGATTAAACGTACACGACTTCTGTACTTATATTCAGATTATTTATTCCATGGATCTGCCAACTCTAATAAAAAGTATTCTGAATAAGTAGAATCCTTTTTTACATTTTATTTTCAGACTTCTTTTGATTATCAATAACGTTTCTCAATTTCCTAACTTTAAAAGCATAACTGCATAATAAACAGATTTTATTTTCATGAACAGTTATAAACAGGTATACAATAGGATGTACGCTTTTAGCCCTGAAGAAAGGGGACCCTAGCATGCCCTGAAACGCGTTGGCTTTCATTCCAGTAATCATTTATTAAAAGCCTATTCTGAACTCTATGACCATTGGTGTGGCATTGTTACTGGTCTTTACATATTTGAACTTTTCTCAGGACCCCCCTTGCCCTGGCACATGTGAGCAGCCTCATCAAAGCAAGTCCACTTGATCAATGAAACGGTCATATAAAACACTGGCTTTCAATAATGGATCTAGCACCTTTTCGCATGTACCCCTACTTTTATCCCACAGACAACCCTGCAGTAAGATATTGCCACCAAAAATGTCCAGCTTTGCTGAACTTCTGTATAGTGTCTCATATCTCGTATTGATTCTCCATACTGCAGCATAAACAAATAAGCAAAAGCTTTAGCTGCGGCAGACCAACATCATTCTGGCTTTGCAGTAAAGAACAAGGAGACACTATTGGAGAGATGTTGCCAAGAAAAGATTCAGAAAGCCTGCAGGTAATTCAAACTGTCTATGCTCACCCCCTAAACTAAAAACGCATGGTCCTAATTTCTCAAATGCAATTAAAGCTGAACTCCATGCCATCAGCTAAACCCACAGATCAAATTTACATTATAGAAAAGGGAGCCGTTTTACCAACCAAATCATTTGTATTTCTGTCCATCCAATTCCGACCTTTACACAGCACAGCCCGGCGGATGACATCACTTACAGTTAAGAGAACTATGAGGTAAGTGTTTTTTCTTATAGCTATCCTAAGGGTCACGGGAAGACATAAACTAGCGTCCTTCCCTGACCCAGAGCTACAGCTTGCGGTATACTGAGACCGCTGCAGCCGGGACCGATGCGGCCATTACTGTCGAGATCCACCCAGCTGCGTGAGTGACAGTACCCGCCCCCTCCCCTGTCCGTTCCCCCAGTCAGCGCCAGAGGATCAGAATGGGGAGGGGGGGAATTCCTGCCAGGAGCCGTGGCTGACAGTCACGGCTCTCTGCAGGGAGATGATCGAGAAGTGAGCGAGCGACAGTATGCGTTCGCTCACTTTCTGATCTATTGAGCCGACGTGTAACAGTTTCATTGTCACAAGTCGGCTCGAACTATGAGGATGAGCGATTTTTCATTCACCTCATAGTTCTCCTTTAAGGAATAAAGTTGCGTTACACCCCCCCCCCCCGGTAGCAGCAAACTGAGGTGGTCATCTCTTTATTCTTTGCTCCTATCAGCATGTTCCATGTCAAAACATTTGCTTACAACACACCTGATTGGCTCCCAGACCTGCTCTTCCCTCTCCCAGTCTTTGTATAAGGGTTTGCAGGAGGGTGATACCAAGTCAATAATTCTATAATTAAAGTGAACCTGTGCCCTGACTATGCACACTAAAAAACTACATATTCTAAAGCGAGCAGCAAAGGCACTTTAAAACAAGTCCTCAATGACCTTTGTAGCTATAGTTGGAGAAATTCATCTTCACACTTTGCAACAAAAGGCACAAATCTTATTTTCCTAGTACTTAGTATGCACCAGAATCTTGGCTGCCTGCCTTCTAATGTAAACATTGTATCAAAGCTGTTAGAAAGACTTCACAGTCTATGTTGTGATCTTACAGGATCTTTGAGAATGAAACACTTGACATTGCAGGCAGCTAGAGAGGTCATGGGAGGCTTGTTCTAAAGCTCTTTTACTGCTTGTTCAAATATGTAAATGTAATGTCCATAAAATGGGGGGGAAAGGTGCACTGATGAAGAAAATACCCAGTTGTTAGTGTGTTTTTATATCTGCCTGGAGTTAAGCTTTAAAACTATGGCTGACGTCTGTGAAGAGCAGAAAACATTCTCAGATTACTAATTCATATAAAAGCACACTACAGAATAATGAACTCTGTGATTGTTTGCCAGTCACATGCGCCAAACACGGTTAACATTGCAATAAACATGCAGATTCTGCAATGAATCACACAGGGCTGTAAATGCTTCATGACTGCACACACTGCAAATGACGCCATTAAAATACCGATTATATTATATAAAAGTGACACGAAAACTCAGGACTTAAACCTTAAAAATACATTCAAGTATCCTATTAACAAAAATGTATCTTATTTGTGTATCACTCGGCTGTAGATCCTCAAATCATCTCTAAAGTGGTGCTGACACTGTCCTTCCTTCTTGAGGGTGGCTAGTTTTATTCCCCACGGTCCCTGTGTGTTGTAAAGTAGTCACCTAGAGCTGCAACAGTTAATCGATTTAGTCGATTAAAATCGACGATTGAAAACGTTGCCAACGTTTTCGGTCGATTCGTCGGCTATCAATTGATTTCCCTGTTCGGGGCTCCAAACGCGGCCTGAAGCACACGTCGCACGCTGTTTCCGTACCGCTGCGCCAGCCGGATATAAGCCACGCCCACCGCACGCTGCTCCCGCCGTGCCCACAGGACGCACAAGCCACGCCCCCCCCC